GATAAGGAGGTTCAGAGGATGTGATACCACATAGTTGGTGATGTACGTGGTTTTTCGTCGAAAGGTGTGTCATAGTGACTGCAAACACAAAATGTTGAAAAGTAATCAGTTTTGTAGATTAAAGCAAGCTATTATGGGAAACACAATCACTTACGGATCAGTTTTCAACCAGTCAGCGAGCTCCTTCAATTTGGTCCTTTTAACTGGTCCAAAAGGATTATAGACTGGAGCTCATTTTTTGTTTGGAATGATCACTTTGGCCGTGCTGTTGGCCAATGAGATTTCTGTGAGGCAGCAAGTTTCCTTGTTTGATCACTCTTTGTACGTTTAATTTCTACCAAAGCGGTTTCCCTCTTTTCCTGATATCTAGCTTGCTCCTTCACTAAATCTGAAACAATGGGTACTTGTTTCTCCAATAGTTCAAGGCTCGATTCTGGAGGAAGGCTCGATTCTGGAGGAAGGCTCGATTCTGGAGGAAGACTGGATGGAAGGATCGATTCCAGAGGTTTTTCCTGGCTCGGAACAATACTCAGCTCTTTCGAGAAAGTAGCACCTGCGGACAAAATATATTTCTTTACCCTCCTTGGGCAAGCTCTTCTTTCCCGCGTTCGACCCATTATTACTTTCACTTTCCTCCCCAGCAAGATCCATTTCAAATTGTGTAGTCAATTTCTTGTTGTGAGAGGATGCTTTACTAACCCGGGTTCTTGCGTTTTAGGTTGAGATTTTTGAGATGATGTCCCTTTCCCTTTTTTGGTGATACCAAGGATCTTCTCCATGGCTTCCACCCTTTCAGACAGATACTTGATCTCCGAAAGGCACATCCTAAACCCTTGACTCATGGCATCGAGTACGTCCTTCAAAGAATCCTTCACGATTCTTTCATTATCCTCTTTGGTCAACCCACCAACATTGGTACTCACCTCTGGGCGAGCCTCTACACGGAGCTCTTCCTCTGCCTCTCCCTCTTCCTCTACCTCTGCAGGTAGCTCTTCATTATGCTTTTTACGAGGTTTCTTAAGAGGTCATGGACTGTTTTCTTCACCAGAACTATCACTTTCTTCGCTTTCTTTGCGGCCGGCCTTGTATTAACCCAAATACCGGTGACTTCCCTGCGATCCATGGTCTCTGATTATACATGAGTTTAATTATGTTCTCCGCGGCCGGGTCATTAGCATCAAAGTCCCATTTTGGAAACATTTCACCAGTGTCCTTCTCAACAAAGTTTATCACCCTAGACTGCAGTAAATAGAAGATATAAACTTAGATATTTGACGGATAAAGAAAGATGAAAAGAAAACACTTCGCAAAAAACTTATGATTAAGTCATCTGGAAAATTTTCCACGTGGACTACTTAGCAGACGACTTAATCATAAATTGTTTGGAAAGTCTTCCAGCTGGATGACTTAGCAGACTACTTTTTATTAAGTCGTATGTGTATTCTTATAAGTCCTCTACTAAGTCATCCAGCTAGAAGACTTTACAGACGACTTGATAATAAGTCCTCTACTAAGTCGTCCAGTTGGAAGACTTTCTAGACGACTTAATCTTAAGTTTTCAAAAATTCTTTTGGACTGAAGTAAATACCTGTCTTTCAGTAACTTCTTTAAGCATCTTCGTCCTTTGCCACCCTGGTAAGCCAGTATCAGTGGAGCGGTCTGTTTGGTATGGGATTACCATAAGTAGCACCCAATTCCGGCAGAGCTGTGTACACTCAGACCTGGAGAACTTGTATAAACCCATCAATGGTGTAACGAACAGATATATCTTTTCCCTTCACAAAATCCATCAACACCTTAAACGCGACGCTCCCCCATGGATAATTCTCAAACCGTTCTAGATCAATCACTAGCATTGCCAGACTAGCTCGTGTAGGGGTTGAAAACTTTTTTTCTTCAATATATCCAAGAAAGATGGCAAGGTACCCGAGCCGCTTGCGATCATCCGGAGACCACCCTTCGCATCTCTCAAATGCTTCTATTATCTGATCAGTAGTTGGCCCAGCTTTGACATTAACTCCCAACAACTCCCAGAAAGCATCCAACTCCTTTGTAACAGAATAGTTTGGTCTCTCAAGGTCCTCGATGTACTCGCAGTTTAGACCAGTGAGGTATTCAAACTCTAACAGTAAAAAACTCAGAGGTTGTGGACCAACAAGACTCTACAGCTCATACTTCTTCTTTATGTCGAGCTGGAAACCGAGCATGTCATGAACCAGCCTTGAAGCCCATTCAAATTCCAGCCTTGAAGCCCATTCAAATTCCAGCTCTTGGAACTTGATGAAAACTCCCAACTTAGACTCCTTCAGCTCTTCATATTCGTCATCATTAAGAGCATTCCTTAGAGAAGTATACAAATTCGTACACGGATGATACGAAATGCTATGCAATGCTGGGGGCTCTTGCCCTACTGTATGTATCCTACGGGGGAGTTCTGGAATATCCATTTTTTCTGCAAAACAATCAAAGACAACCATCTCAAACACATAACCATCCAGTATAACAATTTAATTATAAGTCTAGAAGACTTTCCAGACGACTTATAATTAAGTCGTCTTTCAAGTCTTCCAGTTGAAAGACTTATATTTAAGTCGTCTGGAAAGTCTTCCAGGTGGAAGACTTTCCAGATGACTTAATTATAAGTCTACCAAGACTTCCAGTAGAACATTGGAAAGCTTATCTGAAAATTCGGAGAAGATATAGTCGCCTTCGACACAGCAGTTATAGATCTGCAAAAATAGATGTGAAAAAGAAGCGCGATGAGAACGACAATGAGAACGATGTTTTATGTTCTTTTTCAGATATAACTTACCGGCGGCAGAGTTCAACGAAACGCCTCTAAGAGAAACGGTGCTAGGGTTTCCTCTCAGATCTGAATTAGAGGAAGCGGCGGTGAGAACGGTGGTGATAACGCGGTGGTAAGGCGGAGAGATAACCGGCGGTGAGAATGATGGATTAGAGAGATTCGACGGAAATCGCCTTTGAAATCACCTTTGAGAGAAACAGTATTAGGGTTTTCTGAATTTTGCGAAAAAGTGAGTTAAAAAAAAACATCTTATATATGTCCAGTAAAAAATCGGTTAGGTTTAAAAGTAAATTGGTAAAATCAAAGGTTCGGTCCGGTTTGGACGACTTATTATTAAGTCGTCGGTTGGTACTATACATCAGACGACTTACTAGTAAGTCGTCTGCCTTAATATATTTACCAGACGACTTAATAGTAAGTCGTCCAGACCCTAAACCCTAAACCCTAAACTAAATTGACAAAACTAACTAACTAACCACGTTATAAAATCAAATTATACTTAAATAGTGTTTATTATACACAGAAATAAACACACTTAGGTAAATTTTAAGTTTTTCAAAAAAACATTTATGCTTTCGAAAATCTTACCCTAAGAAACACATACAATACTACAACATATATAGGCAAAACCTAAACCAAAGAATATCATGACTCACTACTTTCACTTATCTATGTCTAAAACAATTATCTCTTAAAACATATGTTAATTACATGATTTCAATTTTTCACTTATTTAAATATTTTTTACAAAGTTTTTAAATTATTTTTAAGAATAACTATACTAGACAACTTTCAACTAAGTCGTCCAGACGACTTAATTGAAAGTCGTCTGGATAAAATAGTTACGTGGGTTAGAAACGTAAAAGAAATTTGGGTTTTTATTTTGTTCACAAGGGGCTGGTTGTAATTTCAATAATCTTTTAGGTTACTTTTGCATTTGATTCATGTTTGAGTTTACTTTTACATTTGAAACCAAATTTTGAGTCATATTTAACAGAAATCCCTTGTTTTTAACGTGGATTTTTCTTATATTTAATGTTGCCAAATCAACTAACATCTGAGGATTTGAATTGCATAGTAGATAGTTGAGGAATAAAAATGTTAATTTCAAATACTTTAGGAATTAAATGATCATTTTTTCCGTGATTGTGAATATCAATATGATATGGGTGCTCTTAAGGTGGCTTCCCAAAATGTTCTGAAAACCAAAACCTTTAAAACTAAATAACTAATAACGATTTGCGTAAACCACTTTCAATTCCGGTCTGGTTAATTTAAGCAAGACGTTAAGTGATAGATCTAATCAAATAGTTTGTGCATGTGTACTTCTGTGCATCAAAATCAAGAAAACCTCCCACCATGTCTCTGCTTTGTAGCGTTTTTATACCTCGCATCTATATCTCTACCTCCTCAACTGACACCACTGTCCTGAGTATCTTTTCTACTAACTTTGAGTTTTCCATCATCTCTCCATTACTTCTCATCTGATTGGTGATGGTCATGACTCGATTCATTAATGCTCTCAAAATCTTTCATATCCAACACTTCAAATTCTCTTCTCAACTTCTGCATAAGTGACATTTTCACACGAGTATTGCTTCCAAACTTTATCTTCCTCAAGTCCCAAATGATTTTAGAAGTTTTCCATGTCCAAGATTTGCTCAAGTGTAATCTTATTAATGGCTTGATACATGTTGTGCTTCATCTTATGGTCATTCGTCTTGGCATTGTCGAGTTGTCGTCTCTACTGTTCAGTCAATACTGTGTGACTGATGGCTCCTCAAAACCAATCTCGTTCATGCTCCATAGCCCCTTTGCATGGAAGAAATTTTCCATTACTTCGATCCAGTGGTCCCAGTAGCCATAACTTTATTGCCGATGGTCCCACACTTTATTGAAGTAGCGGCTTCTTCTTTTCAGTTTCAGAATCTGGCTCTCATACTAATTTGAAACAACATTTGTTTGTCTACTTCATTAAATATGTTGGTTTTATAGTATAGATTTTATGAATACAATGAACTACTTGCATAAATTTTTAAAAATAGAGTCTATTAGACTAAAACTAACTTCTCCACTAACTACATGATGTAATCTCTATGTGATGTAACTTTGTTCCTCCATATAGTGAATACAGGATATAACTTCAGTTCTCCACGACGTAATATCACTTCACTACTTGTTTCAACAGAAAGACATATAACTCAAAGACGGGTATAGAGGAAATATTCATTTGGTTTACAAAAAGACTCTTCCAAGTCTTAACGACACAAACAACAAAAAGTTAAAATCAGAACTCGGGTGTGTCGTAAAATTCCTCAACCCCACGATTACTAGTGAAAAGCTCAAACCAAGACTCCATATCATCATTATACAACTTCGAGTTATTATAACTATATATTTTACTATTCCTATCTAGCATTCCCTCCCAGTCCTCTATCATTTTCTCTATATCATTCTTATTACCTACCGATACGACGTCCGTCCAAAAACTCTCATCAACCAATGCAGAGATATCCTTGTACGACATCAGATCGTCCGCCTTGTTATTATTTGAAATCTCAGGTGTTGTTAACTGTTGCGTAGAGGTTGTCTCGATAATCACAGATTCTTTGTCTTCACGTGTGGTCTCGTTAGTTCTGTTAATTTCTTTGGTGACTCCGCCATTGTTTTTATTTTTGATTAGTCTTTTCTTCAAATGAGTGTGCCAAACATTTTTTATTTCATTGTCGGTTCGTCCTGGCAACTTTGCAGCAATCGCAGACCATCTAAATAATAACAAAGGAAACAACACATCACTGTTAGGAAAAGTGTCTTACATATATACTGTATAATATTGTATGGATTTCATCAATTTGTTACTTTAATATTGCTTTTTAAAGCGAAAACATGGCGATAATAGAAGACAACAAACCAAAAGCTAATATAAGGCATATGTTTTGCATCGATCGAGGTGCATATCTTGTCTAATAGTGGTACTGAAGGTTTTTTTTTTGCAATTTTAAAAACAATGAAAACTAAGTAATTAATCTTTTGACACTGAGTAAATCACGGGTATGAATCTCCTTAGCCCCACAGTGTTAAAAGTTAATGCAAGTTGGAATATAATCTTACACCATGTCAAGTCTACTCAAAGTAATTGAAACGAAGAAAATTTGCAAAGTGAGAAAAGTAAAAGGAAAATAAAATCGTTGACCCATAAACATTTTTTTTAATCCTCCTTCAAGAAATCATTGAAAATATATATTGATGATAACTTTTTTAAGCAAACAAAGACAAACCTGTTGCCCAAGACCTCATGTAGATTGATGATAGTTTGTTCTTCTTGAGAAGTGAAATTACCACGTTTGATGTCTGGTCTCAGATAATTGATCCAACGTAGTCTGCAACTTTTCCCACATCTAAGTAAACCTAAACAAATTCTCCAAAAACACCAGATGAGACTGATGAGTATTGCTTACAGATCAATATTTATTTTGGAACATTTGATCAAGATTTATTGACAGAGAGAAATATAAAAATGAAACTGAAACCACCTGCGTGTTTGGGAAGCGCTCGCCAGTTAGAATGACCATAGAGATGAATATAGTTGATCAAGATTTGATCTTCTTCTGGAGTCCATGGTCCTCTCTTTACCCCCATTTTCTCACAACATGGTGCTCTTCCCATTTTCTTTCCCGTTGCATTCTCAAGAAAATAAAAAATACAATTTACAAGTTATCCTTCTCAATCGAGTAAATGTTGGATGGGTATGGAGTTATATGTGAGAGCTAAAGAGGCCAAATGTTTGAAGGAAGCATGCGATGTAGACGTTTAGTGTGAATATTATATACAGACACATATTATTATATTGTGACAAAAGATATTATTATCATATCATTACAATGCAACCGTGGGACAATTCCAAGTTGAAATTACTCATTCTTTTGATTCATTCTAAGTTCTAACTCTTTTTTTTTGTGCTTTCATCTTCTTTTTATGTTTGTATGCATTTAACATGTAAATATCTCTTATTTTGATGACGTCGACACAATGGTAAGAAACAATAAGGTTTTTATGACGTATGTTAAAAAGTAAATAATGAATTTTACATGTCGTCGTACTTTCAAAGAAAAAAAAAGAATATTACATGTTTTTTTTTGGCTAAAATATTACATCTCCTCGCATGCAAAATGTTTTTAACGTTGTAAAGAACGTGTATAATTAACATTAAGACGAAAATAATAAGTTATATAAATTTCTACTA